GATTCTACCACACTAAGGAAGTCTCAGGTGACAAGGCAGGGGATAGAGATCCCAGAAGGGAATGGGGTTCACTTGACTCTAGCAATAGTTACCCAAGGTGTATGTGTGTGTGCGCATGCGCATGCACATAGGCTGGGAACACCCTTTGTTCACAGAAACATCAAAACTCAATAGAAAGCCTGAAGCATCTGCGTTAAACATGGCCTCTTTTGTTCTCCTTAAATTGATTCTCTGCTTCCTACTTCCTCTCCTCCATGCTTTTCCTTTATTCGCCATTTTCAGCTTTTTCCCTCTTTCCCTGACTTCTTCCTGTCCTGTTTGGTGAGTAGTTACATGGCTCTGAAGCAAACTGCTTCAGCTTGTCAGCTGCCTACCCAGTCATCTGCTTAGGAGAATCTAGTTGTTGATGCTGACAAATGAGGTCATAGAAGGAGGACAGTTACAGCTTTTCAGATCTGCCACATCAATGGCTTGCTAGACCCAAGTCAGGTCCTTGGGTAGAAATGCGAGTGAAAAGTACTGCAACTAAGAGGAGACAGATCACCATGTGCATGCAGTACTTTAGTTCTTCCCTCAACAGAGTGTTTGCTTTGTCTTACAAGCAAGACCACAAAGCACCCTGGCCTCCAAATACCTTGACATCTGCTTGTAGCCCTAATGGAGGGAGGAATCCAGCCATAGCCTACTTGACTGAAATGCAAGGATTCATCGTAAGGTTCCAGAGCCGTTTCTGTCTCTATGAGGACTCATGCAAAAGATGACACCTGCAGACTCCATTGTTCTGGAGGATGAGTTAAGTATGGGGCAGGACGACTTGTCTGTGTTATACACTTAGGGGCTTTGGGTACAGCCTGTTAACCTCAAGGGAAGGGGAAGGAAACTCGCCAGGCTTCACAAAGGCAAAAAAGAAACATGAGCAGTGCAGCCTTAAAGCCAAATGGGATCAATGCAATTTTTCTCTCCGCCTAGTGATTTTTAATAGCAGGAATCTGGATTACATGCAAGTGAGTGCAAATAATTTAAAGCCCAAAGGAGACGATCGCAACTGATGTTAAAACCCTATTCACTTGGAAGAGACATCACCCAAGCATTTCTCTGGTCCCCTTGCTCCTGAAACTGCCCTCTGTGGTGGCTGACTTCTGAGGGGAGGAAAGAAGCCATTAGAAGCCCCTATGTGCTTACAAATAAATTAGGGATATCAGGATTTGTTCACTGCTATAACTGGGGTATAGGCAGGCAGGCAGACATTCTGTTTTTACAGCTGGGCAGGGATTTAAGGATTATCCAATCCAACTTCCTCATTTTGCAGTACTGAAAGTGAAGCCCAGGCCAGGAGTTAAAGGCAAAACCAAGCAGAGACCAATGAGCCCAGCGCCCAGCGCCCTTTCTACTGATTCCCTATAGTTTTCAGGTTGGGCTTAGGCTCTGAGTCTGGGGTAAGCAGAACTAACGACTGGCTTCATTAATTCCCCCACTAATATGCACATTGAGGCTACTTAGTGCCATCTGTACTGTCGGCAAGCTACTTTAGCAGCATGAATTGTAGGATGGGGCAGGAATGGCATTAGACCTCACTTGAAGTGCCAAGGAAGATGGCGAACAGGATAATCCTTCAGGGACCTTGGTCATGTGGGTTCCAAAGTTATATGCCCATTCATTCTACCAAGTACCCTACGAGACCTGTTTAAAATCGAGGGAGGGAAGAACTGATCAGTATCTGCCTACAGAGAAGAAACAACTTTTCCTTCTCAGCTGTTGCTCAGAAAACTTAAGTCTCTCTCAGGAAATCTGTTCTCCAGCTTCGTATGTCCTGGCATTCACCACTCCATATGTAATTGAAGGGCCTCAAGGACGTGTAAATAATTGTTTCCTATTTGACCCACATACTTGTGAGGCTGAGTGTCAGCCATAAGCCTCATTCCCATGTCCAGGCTTGAGTTCAAGGGCAGCAATCAGACGAAATGGTTCAGTGGAGCCACATGGATTCTTGCACAGTAGTGTGTTAATGACTGTTAAAACTGACATGGTAAATACAGCATTCCCAACGTTTAAAATTACAACTCTGCAACAAGTCATGCTGTTAAAACATACAAGAAATACCGGTTAAGCCTTCAAGTAGAGACCACACACAACCCGTACAGATCACCGCTATCCCAAAGTACATAACAGATCATTTTCATTGAAATGAGGCAGGAATTAGCAGGTAGTACAGTGAGTTGAGTGCTAAGAAAAGTAGAAATAATAAATCCAAATGTTAAACACCAATTACTACCCGATGAGCTACAAGTTGATTTGGCATTACAACGTGCCCCTCCTCAGCAACACAGCCAGAAACGAGGAAATGGGGCAGTTTGGTGGCAAACACAAGCCTATGACCAATGCACATCTACACAATAAAGGACATAAGCTGCTCATCCCCTGGGATGTGAGAAAATCCCATATATGTGTCCCTGTGACTTTGAAAAGAACAGCTTCCAATGCTGGGAGAAAAGCCAATGGCTGAAAGGAATATTGGTCTCTTCTGTCCTCCTAAAGGAGATCTGTGGGTCAGTCTGACAGCCTGGTGACCAGACATGACACCTTCTATCTTTAACTCTTAAGAACAGGGCAGAAAATTAGGCTGACCCACCCTGATTAACTTCAGAGACTAGGTAGAAACTGTGCTTGAGAAGCTTTAATCTAACAAAGTTAACCAAAGACCCTGCCTCTGAGCCAGCACTTATGAACTTCATACCTGGGTGGGACTTCAGGGGAAAGGCAGGCTGCCTGCATCACCGTTCAGGCTCCATCTTTTGTGGGATGTCACTGCAGGGTTGTTCTGGCCCCCAGCTCTCAGAAACCATCACTTGCAGAACTCAATGCTCTCCAGACATTCTCATGCTCACAAGTGACTGAAGGTCTTGGTGGGCAAAGGAATATAGTTGTTTACAAGTATACATATGTACAAGAGATGTTAAAAAGACAGTCTCTAAAGCACTTTGGGATTTCCCCCAATGAAAGGCACCAGATAAATACAAGTCATTACCAAAAAGAAAAATCAAGTTCTCCAGCTTTCACACCTGCAAAGGTAACCCTTAGAGACACATCTTTTGGTAGTAAACCTGCTGGTTTAGAAAAATCCTCATGAGAGTGACTGGGTTATTCTGCCTCCCTTCCACCTTCCTGTTTCCTCTTTGCATAACTTTTATGGTCTGTGACCATGGATACCACGCTCGGTGACCTCACGCCATCAAGCCTTGGCAAACCTAACACTCCTCACAGGTTTGTACCATCACCTGTCTTGGGTGCAGCTGGGGATGATTCTGTACATCTTCTGACTACTAGGGCTGGAAACATCAGCCAATGCTGAGTTCCATGTGCAAATTCTAGAAAAAGCTAAACCCCCCTATTCTTCTCACCTGCTGGGTTGCCTTTAAGTCCCCTCATTTTTCTGCTGCTTCTGAGAAACAGGCATAGACACATAGGCACTAAGGGGTTGCCACTCCTCTGCCCCCATAAGACTCCAGTCTCATGGAAGGATTTGAACTGGAGGCTCAAGGATGTGAGTGGCCAGTGCATTTATCTAACAATTCACCCACACGCAGTAGCCATGGCAATTACAAGTACACAACGCCCTCTGAGAAGATCCTCTCCACAACCTCCTGAGGTATGGATTAACCAACTAAAACACAAAACAGACTTCTTACAGAAGCCCAAGCTTTGGATAAAAGCCTGCCTAACTTCATGCTTAGATCCCTGGATTCTACAGCCTTGCTAAATATTGGGTGATAAAGAAAGCCACCCGGAAAACCATAAGTTACCCCAAAAGATGGTGGGGAAAATGACCTTACAAGGTTCCCCTTCAAAATATTATGTGCTGATTATCTAAAAAAGAGGACCAGGGGTTGTTTTGGAGAAGGAAGCAATGGTCTCCTTCAACACAAGCATAGGTGTTGAAAAACCTCTTAAGTAGCTTTCAGCTTTTCAAGAAATTTACAATTATGACATTTTATGAAGTAGCAGGTTTTTGTTTTATAACTCCTTTCTCCTGACCTGGACTCCCCTTCCCCCAACAAACAGAAGTTGCAATGGAAATAAGAACTACCTTGTTCTCATCCTGGGCACAATATAGCCTTCATGCACATCTGTATTTGGAGTACACACTTCTGCATCACCAGGTTTCCATATCATGGCAGGAACTCTGGGGCAATCAAAACATCATATATACCATACTGTATCCTAGAAGCAAAATTATCTGAGCAAATTCTGCTTGTAAATAAAAGAGCTCTCATTTTATGAGCTTTTAGAGCAAGCCACAAAACTATTTAAGCTACTATCCTTGCTAGCAACCTATCTATGCTCACCTCGGGAAGACAATACAACAGTCATCTCTTCTGGGTTGAGAAAGACAATACAACCTTACTCCTAAACATTCGTTTAAAAAAATAAAGATTTCAAACACATGCTAATACCAAAGACACAGCAAACTTTGGTCAAATAGCTTAGACTAGCAACCTCAGCCAGAAATAAATGTCTCTGTGAATCCCCTCGGAATGACAGAGGCCTGACCATGACTTGAAAAGGCTTAACCTGCACCAACTCCGAGTTAAACATCCGTGGGAGTGGCGTGGGCTTAGCTGAAATCCTTGTCTCTAACTTATCTGTTTTTTTGTTTGGGGGGGGAGGGACTTCAATCTTTACTACATGTTTAACGAAGTAACATTCTCTAAGGAGTGACATGAGATGAACATCAATATACATTTTTCTGAAAGTGATTGTGTGCCCATGCAAGCCACAGAGCTAAAGATCATAGAACAATTCAGAGACTTGCGTCACCATTTGCATTCTCTGTTTTGTCATCAAAATTAAAGCAAAAGATAAAGAAATCGAGATTTGTTTGCCCACAATTGTGTGCAAAATCTTTTGCTATCCTTGCTGACCTCATAGATAGATATGTTCCTATTGGAAAAACTTGCTGGGTATTTTTTATATATATACAGATATCACAGGACAACCTTGGGAACAGGAACACAAACAACACACAGTACCAGGGCACAAGCACTGAATAGTGTACATAGCAGACAGAGAAACTGGCATTCTGGATACTCATCTGGCAGAAAGATGAACATTTTTTATACCCATGACGCAAACACCAGTGAGTGCCATTTCATTGGAAGGTGCAAAGGTGTGGTGTCAGACACACCACTTTCTTAAAAAAAAAAAAAAAAAAGGATTCTCAGCACTGTGAGAGCAACCTCCGCTGCAGATCCCATGCACCTCTCCCCTCTGGGGTTGGGCAGACTCCTTATGCCATAACCCTAAGCTGCCTGGACTGTGTCAGAGACACAAGAGGCAGCTCAGCAATGTGGGTTTGAGGATGACAAACCCTCCTGGCTAATGGAGGGAGTCACTTAAACTTAGTTCACTTGGTGAGCTCCTGCTCATGTTTGTTAAGCTTGCCATGAGGGATTTAACTTTATGGGCATAGTAGTCCCTTAAATTGACTGAAGGGACCTCCTTCATTCCATCTCCAAAGTCGCAGCTGCGCATGGCACTCTCAAGTTGTTTTTGGCGCCGGTAGAAGTGGGAGAACTTATTGAAGATCAAGGTGATGGGCAGTACCACCACCAGGATGCCTGCCAAGATGCAGGCAGACGCAGTCAGCTTCCCTGCTGTGGTCCCTGGAACCACATCCCCATACCCTACGGTGGTCATGCTCACAGTGGCCCACCACCAGCAGGCAGGGATGGTCGCCAGGCCCTCGTTTTCTTCCTTTTCAATGGTGTAGGCCACCACGGAGAAGATGGAAATCCCCACGGAGAGGTAGAGCAAGAGCAGCCCTACTTCTTTGTAGCTGTATTTTAAGGTCGCTCCCAAGGAGCGGAGGCCAGTGGAGTGTCTGGCCAGCTTTAAGATCCGGAAGATCCGCATCAATCGCAGGACCTGAGCCACTCTGCCCAAGTTGGCCAGCGTCGGTGAGCTCTCCACCACCAGGTTCACCACGAGAGTGATGTAGAAGGGGACGATGGACATGAGGTCGATCAGATTGAGCGCGTTCTTGAAAAACTTGAGGAAGTCAGGGGCCACGGCAAACCTGGCCACCAGCTCAAAGGTGAACCAAGCGATTCCAAAGTGTTCCACGATCTCGAACCTGGGGTCCTCCCCAGGGTTGCCCTGGCTGTCAGGAATTTGGAAGTCCGGCAGGCTGTTGAGGCACATGGTGATGATGGACCCCAACACCACCAGGATGGACAGGACACTGAAGACCCTGCTCAGGACTGAGTAGCCGGGATTGTCCAGCGCCAGCCACAGCTGCCTGCGGCAGTTGCCCAGGGGCTGCCCGTCAAATTTGGAGGCATCGTTGTAGAAGGCCAGGATCTCATCGAAGGAGGACGTGGTGCTCTCCTGGTCGCTCTGCTCGTCCCACTTCTCCTGCTCAGGCTCCACTTTGCGGCCGTGATAGCTGTAGCTGCAGCAGGAGTCAATGAAGAACTCGTTGATGCCCCAGTACTCAATCTCCTGGCTGAAGGAGAAGACGCACAGCTCGGCCATGACGTGGAGCTTGCCGGTGTGGTAGAAATGCAACACGTAAGGGAAGAGCTCGGGGTTGCGGTCGAAGTAGAACTCCCGCTGGACGTCGTCGTAGTCGTCGCAGAGCTCCAGGATGGCCTCGCGCGAGTGGCAGAGCAGCAGGCGGCCCAGGCGCGTCTCGGGGAAGCGCAGCAGGGTGTGGGAGCGCAGCCGCCTCTTGCAGCCGCCCACGTTGATGCGAATCTCCCCATCCTCGACGTTGCTGGCCTGGGACATGTCCCACAGGCTCTGGCCGGTCATGCCGGAGGTGCCCGCCGGCCGCGCCGCCGCGCGGGGGCGCTACACCTAAAAGCGGAGGGAACCCCGTCAGCCTGGGCGCCCGGCTCTCCCGGCCCCAGCGCCCTTCTCTCCTGACCAGCCCCCCCCTCCGGCGCGCCCGGTCCCCCCCTCTCCAGCAGGGGGTGGATGGGTCTGGGTTCTGTAAGGCATTGGAGTGGGGGAACAGGCCCCCTTCCTAGGAAAGGCGGGGAGTCTAATTTTCTTTTTTTGCCCTCTGCCCCCTCCCACCCTGTATGGGAGGGGGTTAGGGGGCTGGCGATGGCTTTTCGTGGGCCTGGGTCGCACCCCCGCGGCTCCGAGAGCTCCTGGGGGGGCCGCGTGCTGACCTTGCCCGTGGGCACACCAAGGAGACGCCCCCGCCCGCGCGCCGCAGACAGGCGGGACCTGAGCCGAGATACGCACCAGCACCGGCAGGGCTGGGCCGGGAGAGGGGCGCGCGGAGATTTGGGAGGGGGCGGGGAGATCCACTGCTCCGGTGCCTAAACCTGGGCCGGGGTCGGTGGGCGGAGGGGGAGGAAGGAGACAGATGGGTGTCCCCGGTGTCCAGCCTCCCCCCACACACCCCCGCCCAGGACTGGATCCCCCCACCACAAAGCACCATTTTCCCCTCCCTGGGTTTCCCCCGCCCTCCTGGCGCGGTGCCCCGGGGCCGCGTGCGCGGCGCCTCACCCAGCGAAGCTGCCTGGGCTCGCCTGGCGCGTTCTGGAAGCGCTTACCTGGGAGCCCGAGCGCCCGCGGCCGAGGCCGGCGGGAAACTTCCCAGACCTGCTGGCGAGCATCGCCCCGGATCGTCGCTGCGGGCTGGCTGTGCGTGTGCGCGCGGGTGCGAGGATGTGTGCGCCTGTGTGTGCGCCCGGCCGGCCGGCGGGCGGGGTCCACCGAGCGTCTCCTGCGGTCTCCGGCCCCGCACGCCGCCGCCGCCGCCGCCGCCCGCAGTTTCCCAGAGGCTCACAGGTGGCTGCGTGGCTCCGACGTTCTTGGAGCCCCCCTTCTCCCGAGCGCGCGCCCCTCACCCGCCGACAGAGACGGGAGCCCACGCTGCAGAGGCCCGCGGAGCGGGAGCGGAGCCGGTGCGCCTGGTCGCGGGCCCTGCGCTGGGGTGCGGCGCGGTGGTGCTGAACGGACAGCTCCCGCGCGCCTCGATCCCGGGGCCCGGCCGCCGCCCCTGCCTGGAAGATGCCGCCCCCAGCGCGCTGCTCCGCGCTCCTCGCGCGCGTCACTGCGACCCCCTTGCGCCCCAAGCTCAACGCCGGCCGACACCTTTCCCTCCTCCCCCACTCGGCATCCTCCGGTGGCAGCTGTTATCGCTACCGCCCCCGGGGCGCAGGCAGAGGGTGGCCTAGGGTGACCTTTCCCCACTGGTCTGGCAGAGGAAGGGCATTGCGTGTAGGGGGTAGGGCACACACACAGAGGATCTCCGGGTTTCCCCATTTAGGGACCCGAAGTAAAGTTTCCCCAAGACTGAGGTTGTTGGGGGGAAGGGAGGTGGCGTGGAGAAGAGGGGACAGGGAAGAAAGCCTGAGGTCCCGCTGCAGAGGGATGCGCGTGGGGAGGGGGAAGGGCGCAGGCCCCGCTGGGGGGAACCGTGGAGATCTGCTTGGAACCTCTGTGCGGCTACTGTGTGTGGACAGGCAGAGAAGTGTGGGTTGCAGAGGAGTGTATGGAACTCTGTGTGTGTGTGTGTGTGTGTGTGTGTGTGTGTGTGTTCTGAAGACAGTAAGCATTTTCAATGTCTATGTAGAACACTGATTTAAAAAGGGGGGGGTAGAGGGATGTATACAGTGTAGCAGTACAGGAGGATCCTGAGACACGAGTTGCTATGGGGTGTGTGTGCGCGCACGTGTGAAATATGAAATGTGCGGTGGTGTGCAGGCTGCTCTACACAGCATCGATGTGTTCAGTACTGTATCCTCATTCCCAAGACTTGTGGAGATCTAAACTCTTGGTCTCCTAAGGCTGGTCTTACAATCCTCCATCTGGGCTGGACTGAGCTGAGAAATGGCTCTGCATCTCCTGAGACTCATCTGTCTTCCGTCTCAGCCCTCTGCATGGTCTTTATTTGCAAAGACTGGTCGTGGGGTGGGATAAGCTTCCAGAGCGTTTGTTGTCCACATGCCTTGGGCAAGAGGTGTGGGAATGCATTTGCAGGGGGCTCTGGACGGACAGCGCAGCTGCAGCAGAAGCACATCCTCATTACCTGGCCCCAGCAATGCTATCCAGATAGAGATGTCCTGTGTATGGGTAGGTGCTTTGGATGGGAGGGGTTCTCAGTGGCAGAGACCCTGAGTTTTGAGCCTTAGCAGTACAAAAAAAAAACACAAACAAAAATATGCTTTGTGCGTCTTTGGAGAGTCTGGGGAGAATCCTTGATTTGGTCTCACATGGGCCCTGTGCTGCCGCTCACCTCTGAGTATGTGTGTGACTGAGGGTGGGCTGCCCGGTGGAGCTCCACATCCATGCCCCTGCAGGACTGACTCTGTGGGTGCAGGGGATCCCCATGAGGCGGATCCCCATGAGGCAGTCCTGTGTGGGCAGGAGAATGGAGTGGTGAGGGCCATGTGAGTGTCCTTTTCTTGTGTTTGATGCCAGAGTAGTGTGTGCCTGTGTGCAAGTGTGTGTGTGTGTGTGTCTGTAAGAGAGAGAGAGAGAGATACAAAGAGAGATACAGAGAGAGGGGGAGGGGGAAAGAAGTGGAGGAGAGGGAGGGGGGAGAGAGACCTTTGCAGCTGCTCTCTTTGTCTCCATGTCTGTTTCTACAGGAGACTGTTTTGGCGTAGGCTCACTCTGCCCTGTGTCTTGCTCTGCTGGATCTGTCATTTGACGTCTGTGGCTCCCCACGCCACACCTTGCTGGGCTGCAGTCTGGAGGCCCCTGCGTCTCCCTCTTCCCTACTGTAGGAATGCTGCCGACAGAGTCCTAGTCTTGCAGGAGGGTGTGTTTGGTGCATGTGTAAGCATGGGCTTGCAGCCTCTTTCACTCTTCTGTCCCCCCATCCCCACATACCCTACTGCAGGATCCTTCACAGCAGCACCTGGAAGACAGCCTTCACAGCCCTGCCTCCCTCGCTGCCTCAGGTCACTCCACAGCTTGCAGCCCCCTGCAGCTTTGCTACCACATGCCCCTGCAGTTTGTGCTGCAGCCCTATTCCCAGCCACTCCCAGTCCCCCAGCCTCAGAGCCCCCCCCCACCCCGCACCTCGCTTGAGCATGATGTATAGTTCACCTTTTTCCTTCTGTTGTATTTGGAGGGTCATCCCCTGGGAACACTTGGTTTCAAGGACTCTGAGGTTTTCCTCCCTCCTTGGTTTCTTTATCTGCCTCTTCCTTCTGTTCCTGGCTCTTTTTGTTTTGCTCAGTCCTTGTTTCTTTGTAGTTGTAGGAGACCTTGCCTAGGGAAGAAGAGCTCCTGTGCCTTCTGGCTCTTTGTCTCTCCACTGCCTACAACCACCCCACCCACGGCTCCAGGGACTCTGCCAGGCTTCTGGGACTTTCACCCCTCCTATATCTCTATTAGGGGCCATGCCGTGCCTCTCAAAGCTCTGCCTTCCTGACAACCCCATTGCACTCCACACCCCCTCCCCTATCCTTTGCCATATCCCCAGCTACGCGGATGCTCTTTATGTGTCCCTGCCCTCATTTCACTTTTCCCGTAAGGCTGAAGTCAGGGACAAGTCTCCTTGCTCACCTTTACTTAAATATCCAAGTGAACTAGGAGCCCAGGGGGAGAAGCTGAAGTTTAGGGCACATCAGTTGTTTCTTGGACAGGCTGAGGCAGATGTCTGTGGGTCTGACAGATGCCTTTGCAGAGGGTTAAGTATATGTGACAGGCAGAGCCACTTGTTTATTTCCCAGTCTCTGAGGTGAAAAGAAACGGCGCTGTCTCTCTCCCTCTGTACCTAGGAAGCTGGTTTTGTTTGTGGTTTATTTAGAGGTCTGAACCCTGCTCTTAAAATATATCTGCCTGCTCCCCAGCAATACATGTCAAGGCCTGGGGAGATAGTGAGGTGGCAGAGAGCTGGGGAAGAGGCGTCCTGAGAAGGGGGTTTGAGGAGACTGTGGGTGGAGGACCAGATCTTACACCTGGGCAATGTCATTGTTGCTTCTGCTAATGCTGATCTGATTTGAGCCCACACAACTCAGACTCTGCTTTATCCCCTGACAGGTGAGGGGGCTGCTTCCGTGGCCACACTAAGTGAGCTGGGCTTCCTGACTTACATTTCCTACTGTGAGGGAGAGCTGAGTCCTGTTATTCCCCTAGTCTGGGATTACAGGACTGCCCATGGCCCCTATAGAGTGGGCTTCCCCCATGTCCATCCCACTGCCCACCAGCCATTCTCCCACTGCAGCCCCAGTGCCTCTTTGTGTGTGTGTGTGGGGGAGGGTTGTGGGGACTGAACTCTGGGCCTGGGATCTCTTTAGCTCAAGGCTAGTTTCTACCACTTGAGCCACAGTGCCACTTCTGGCCTTTTCTGGCTTTTTTCATATGGTGCTGAGGAATCAAACCCAGGGCCTCATGCATGCAAGGCAAGCGCTCTACCACGGAGCCACCTTCCCAGCCCGCCCCCCCACTGCCTCTTAAAAGCACAATTGGGTCAGGTCCTTCCACCTTGGAAACCTTCCAGAAGTTTCTCATTGTGGTAAGAAGGAAAACCATTTGCCTACTTAGCACTGCTCCCTTCCCACCTCCACTTGCCCTATTTTCCATCTATTGTGCCTCAGCCACATGTCCCCTTTGCACCCCGTACAGGGTGCTGTTCTCTATGCCTGTCTTGGAAGCTTCACAGGGCAGGCTTTTTCTTGTCCCTCTGATCTTTGTTTAAATTCCATCACCTCAGAGAGCTGCTCAATCTAAATTGGACCCCTGGATGAGTTTTTAACCAGTGTCTTTACCTCATATTAAATCACTCTTAAATACATGATTGAACTATAAATGAACAAGACTTCAACTGCTATCTTATGTTATTTTGTGACAGCTCAAGTCTTGGCCCCAACTCTTCTTCCTGGTCGATTAAAAATGGTCCTGGAGAGGGAGAATTTTGTGCCTGGGACTGAGGGGAGAAGTTGCCAGGCTCTGGCCTCTCTTCAGCAATCCAACAACCTAGTGTTTCTCAATCCTACTACACATGAGAAGCACCTGTGAAGCTAGCCAATGCTCTAGATGCTGCGGGCCTCTCCCCAGACCAAAGTGAGTTAGTCTCTGTTGGAGGGCACATAAAATCAATGTGTTCTTTAAGCTCCCTAGATGAGTGGAGCCAAGGTTAAGAGTATGAGCCATTTGCCATTGGACACAGAACAGCACGCCCATGAGCCAGTATGTGGTTGTCAGTACCAAGGACAGCAGCTGGGTCTCTGTTCTGGGGCTAGTGTCTGCCTTCAGATACAGCCCAGAGGCCCTAGGCTTTTGTCTATGCTTTTGGCAACTCTTGACTGAAGAAAGGTTCCCTGTGCCTCTCAGAATCCTTCACCTTGGAAATAATTATCTTGAAATAAGGAATACTCACATTTTCTTTTCACCTTTGAAAGGGGTCAGCTCCCGAGCCTTTAAGATGTTGACAGTGGGAATGAGGACTGAGGACAAGGTGGCTAGCTGACCTTCTTGGGTAGAAAAAAAGCCAGAAAAGCTGCTATGGATGGAGACAAGGTTGAGAGAGGGCAAGGGAAGCAGGGAAGAGAGGCCTCTAGGAGGCAGAAGCCAGGCCTGAGCCTGGGGCCATAGGGAAGCCGGAGTGGGGGAGGGTTGGACACAATATTTTAAGGAATGTATGTTATGAAGGCAATTGCTCATTAAGTATTTTGTCAAGGGGCAAAAGTAAATTGCATTGTTTCTGATGTAAAACTAAGGCTTTGAAAATATCTGAGTCCTGGCCTACAGCATTTGCCTTTTTCCCTTTCCCTACTGAATTATAGCCCTCTGGTGAGAGGGATGAAGAGTGTGGAGAAGGTTGAGCTAGGTATGATGATGATGAGGGTTGCAGTAGAGGCAATCCATGCATCTGGTTCAGGTATGTGTCCTGGATCTAGACTGT